TGGGGTTTAGGGTTTCCAAACACTGAGCTGCTGCGCAGGAACTTCAGGTCAGATAACGTAATCAGAAAGCAATCGTCAAGCCGCGGACCCGTATCCTTCAAGCCTACCACCTGGATCCTTGCTACTATTTGCTAAAGAACCCACAAAAAACACAAAAGAAAAATCTCGACCTTACCCTTAGCAGGAAGAATATCTCTTATTTTTTGGTGGGCAAGCAACTAGTAGTTTAAGGGCTTCGAAGAATACAAGCTTGACCATCTCCAGCAGACTGTACCAAGTGCAGGCTGGCCGCTAAGGTTGTTGTGGAAACACCTCTGAACCCCAAAATCCTAGACCCTAAGCCCTAAACCCTGAACTTCCAGATCCAGAGCTGCGTGGCTTGTTTGCAAATTCCCTTGACTCCCCCCCCCCCTAGTTGCTAAAGTTGCGGAGTACCCTGGGCCAAAAAAGGTTAACCTTCCAACTATGGTAGGACACCAACTATGGTAGGGGGGTCGCATTTTTTCCGATTTTTAAAGCACAACAGTATTCGGAGAACCGCAAAGGGTTAAAGGTTACCTACTCAGCTATCAAGCCCCCAACAAAACCCGAAACCCTTCACCCAAACCCCAAACCCCAAACCCTAAACCCTAAACCCTAAACCCTAAACCCTAAACCCTAAACCCTAAACCCAGGGGGACCCAGTCACGGTTCTGAAGCCCCTGACCCGCTGCGCTGGACTTCCAAACCCAAGAGCCCCTCTGCAGACCCAACCCTGGATCCTTCACCCGAAACCCGAAACCCTAAACCCCAAACCCTAAACCCTAAACCCGAAACCCTAAACCCTAAACCCGAAACCCTAAACCCTAAACCCTAAACCCTCAGACCCCGGAACCCCGGAACCCCCCAAACCCTAAACCCGAAACCCTAAACCCTAACTACTAATTGCTTAAGCACCCCCCCCCCCTCAAAAAAGAAAAGGGAAAGAACATCAATTTGTTCTTCCTTATAAGGGTACCACACGGCGTGATCTTCTATTTTTGGGGTGTTTCAGAAAAGAATTGAACTCCTCAACCCTAAACCCTAAAACCCTAAACCCAAATCCCTACAAACTTTTGCTGGGGTCTGTGGTCTTGGGGTTGTCGGCTTAGAGGTTGCAACTTTGGGCTTTAGGGCTGTCAGTGTTTTGGAAGTTTCGGGTGTCGGGGTTTAGGGTTTAGGGTTTAGGGTTTAGGGTTTAGGGTTTAGGGTTTAGGGTTTAGGGTTTAGGGTTTAGGGTTTAGGGTTTAGGGTTTAGGGTCTAACATCCATGCCTTGCTGTGCTCAAAGCCCGCAGCAGGAAGGCAGGTGGGAGACCGGACAACTACGCCCTCCCATTCTTGAACCCACGTTGCTCTGAAGAAGACAGCTTGGCGTTAAGGGCTGTGGCCCCTAAACCCTGAACCCTAAACCCTAAATCCTAAACCCTAAACCCACATTAAACCAGCTGTCCCGCTGTAACTTTCCGGAAGCTCACGGCGCATGGCCAGCGTTTAAGGGTTCAGGGTTTAGGGCTTAGGGTTTAGGGCTTAGGGCTTAGAGTTGAGGGTTTAGGCTCTCCATATGGACTTGATGAGAATTGGAATGCGGGAAGCTTCAACATGTGGGACCCTTATTTTCCTGGACCTCGCTGCTGCACCTGCACATCGTGTGACCAGCGTGCACGTAGGATCGCGGCGACTTAAAGGAAACATTCAGCTGTAGGGTTGAGGGATTAGGGTTGAGGGTTTCGGGCTTAGGGGCTGGTATTCTGAATTCCCAGGCACCTTGAAACTTGTACAAATGGACTCAGCAGCACCGAAGGCACTAAGCTGCACGAACGCGCAGGTCACGACCCTAAACCCTAAACCCTGAACCCTAAACCCTACACCCTCTATATGGGGCTCCGTATCTCATCTTCCCAGCAGATCCCAGCATCCACGGGCTTTTCACTCCGACCATTTTACAGCATCTTGGACCATGCCCTGTGTAAGAGGCAAGTCCTTGACCAGCATCAGAACCTCAACAAGGGTTTGTTGAAATTGCTGCTAAGCTGTACATCGTCTCAGCTGTCCCATCTGCCCAGCTTCTGACAACATCTCGCCGCCACGGATATCAACGAGTTGAGAAGTCCTCGGACCCAAATGACAGTACTCACCCTTAAGCGCATCCCGATACAGAAGAACATGGTATGGTGGGACAAACAAGAAGATTTCGGCGGTGGGAGGGGGGGAACTATTGTTTGGAGCCTTGCGCATCTTTTTGCAGTCTGAGGATGCCGACGGGACCATGTTACGAGTGACGCAGTGTTCAGGGTTTGGGGTTGGGTTTAGGTGAAACGAGATTGCGAAAAAAAATGGCCTGTGCCCCAAGCCCTGAACCCCCCAACGGTTTCGGGGACCCTCGTTGTTCAGCCGCCGCCAGGTGCTGCTTTGCCTGGTGAGTACGCTCAGCTGCCGCAAAATTGCAGAGGGCCACGTGGCAAAATCCCAACTAATGCAGGAGCGGGAACCTCTCACGCGTGTTGTGCTATAATTCTGAAAGCCCTAAAGCCTAAACCCTATCCACCCTATACCCTCCGAGGCTCCTACGTTAAGTATTTTCGGGGCGGAAACTCAAAGCTCTTTGTCTCAACAGATGGTGACAGTTGAGGTAGTTTTCATACTTCCTAGTTGCTGGAGTTCACCTGGGATGGTGATGATGAGGCTAGCTGCTAGGTGTAAGGGCTGTAAGAAGCCTCTTTCCCAAGACAAAGAAGCAAGAACTGGGATGTGCGGGCAGCACCTTCTGCGATGGAGGCACATCGCCCCTCTGTGTGGCAGTTGCCACAAGACGGGTCCCGATGCCCTTGGCTCTTCATGCTAAGACGGCCCGAACTCTCGAGCTCCTTAGGAGCACCGCGGCCGTGAAATTGCTCAGCAACGCGGGCTGTAGGTGCATAAAACCCAGGTCACTCTCACCAAGCATCTCTGCCCTGTGCTTCCGATTGACCCAAACACTCCTCAATACAGGAAACCATGCTAAAACCTTGGCGGACTGTTAGAAAAGGTTGCTCAAGAGTCCCCAAGCCAATCAGAGGATCCAAGTAAGCACATGCAAAAAGCAAGTCTTCCAGAAACCCAAGCAAAATTTCTAGCGCAGGTGGTAACACCCAACAACCTTTGCGCTTCACAGATGAGATTCCGAAGTGACGTTTGCGAGACATGCGCAGGACTGAAAGGCTTCAGGAGCAAGAGTATGCGTCCATGCAACATCCGTATGCGTGGCTGCATGCAAACCACATCAAAACCTTGAAGCGCAGGTTAGGCACGAACATAGAAGCTGCTCGTCTACTTACCCACGCAGCTGCTCACCTGTCTACCGGCGTGTCTACCACACTATGTGCAAGCATGCAGCTACGTAAGTGCATCTGCATTTCTGGCCTTGTACCACATATGTCGTTACATGCATTATCTCTGAGTGTGTGAACTTTTGCCGCGTGCTCAGACAACTCTTCTTTCTTTGCATGTAGGCGTGGTGCATATAGACTGCAGCTGTAGGCCGAGATCGCAAACTTTGGGTTCGGGCGACCTGTCGTGGGCGCCGGCGCAAGCCAGGGCACCATATTGTATCGGCATGCCCTGGCCGCCTTGCCCTCATGCTGCAACTTCAAACGGCTATTGTGGCTGATGGGACGAATGTACGGCGATCACGTCGGTTGAAGTTCAATTTTCACAGGCCAGTTCCTCTTTGCTCATCCAGCTGAAAAATGCATTATACCATATGATGCTGTATATGATACTCGCCAGTAGATCGACTCAACACCCAAAGTTATAAATTGTGAACTTGCTCTAGAGTGAGTCTTTCTTTGCTGTATGTAGCTCGGTTAATCTTCTTGAGTCTCTAGAACTCTAGCAACTAGACTACCAGTACAGCATTTTGTCAGAACACTCCCATGAAAATTGTACCCGACTCCGCGCCACCTCCGTTTTAAGCAGCGCAGACATCTTCCGAAGGGGGGGAAGATGCTCCAAGCCTCCTGGCAGCCTGAGTCCAAGTGCCCAGCAAGCCCCGGGAGGGAAAGGGGGTGTCGGGAGGCCTCCTCTCTCCATAATGGAAAACTTTCCGGGCAACACTGCTTGCGATTCCTCATTGTGGGTTTCCGAAATTAGGGGCACCGGTTCCCGTTAAGGGGATTCCATTCTATTTGGGGCATAAAAGGGGCACCCCTATTTTGGGAAATACCCATTTGGGAAACAGGGGCCACGGTGGACCTGGACCGGAGACTGGACTGGAACTCCACTCAGATCCATTCGCTATCCCAAATCCAGGGTTTAGGGTTTAGGGTCTAGGGTCTAGGGTCTAGGGTTTAGGGTTTAGGGTTTAGGTGCTAGGGTTTAGGGTTTAGGGTTTAGGGTTTAAGGTTTAGGGTTTAGGGTTTAGGGTTTAGGGTTTAGGGTTTAGGGTTTAGGGCTTAGGGGACCTCAATAGTCAACTGATTTAACCCATAGCTTACTGGGGACAAACCCAACTCCGCAAAAGCATGGTGCGCACTTTTGCAGGCAATGCGAGGCTGCCTCACTTCTCGATCTGCGCGTTCGGACATCTTTTGGGTAATTTCAGCAGGTGCCACGTAAAGAACGGAGCATCCCCCGGCTGAGAAGAAGAGTTTGAAACGCGTTAGCCGCTACTCACTCTATTTTCGGCGGCCATTCCTGTGCAACTAATTGTTTGCGAAGCTCCTGCAGGCTTCAACTCTCAAAACTTCGGTGAGCTGAGGACACATGTTGTGCTGCCATGACCCTTTCGCGGGCATTCTGCTTCTTCCTAGAGCCCCAAAGCCCTTGAAGCTTTAAAGCCCGAGACGCTAGATGACTTGAGCCCGTACCATTCTGACCTTAATTAAACCTTTCACTCTAAGCGGGCCGCCTCGACGCCACGGTCTGTCGATGTGACTCTATGTGACTCTTGCTGCTTGCAAGGCAACTGGGATTCAACCTGCGACACACAGGATGTCCTGGGACTCAACTCAGCATGGCCACCACCTTTGACAGGTCATCTTGAAAGGAAGCCTCCGCCAACTCCAGGGCCTCCCGAATGGTCACCCGAACAAACTCGTTCGTGGCCTCGAAGCCACCAGCCATGCACTCCACCCTCTCATCGATCATCTTCTTGTCCGCAGGCTCCGAGGCACTGGCATCCTCCAACCGCAAACTCGTCAAGTGCCGGCCAACTGCCAGCGCCACATCTAAACCCGAGCCATGACCCAAGACGCCGGAATTTGTGCAGAGAGACAGGCCTCTGTAGTCGCTGCGACGCTCTTTCAGCAGTCGCGTCTGAAGCACTTCAAACAAGCACCACGACCTTGTGAGAGGCTTGACCTCCTCATCCAGAACCATTGCAGTTCCTCTGCAGCTCTGGCTGTTCAGTGCAAGGAAGAATGACGACTCTTCGCAGGTAGAACCAAGCTCTGCTTGAATAGCCCACTGGTTATTGCTGAAGGAGCAGATCCAATATGCACAATCAAGCTTCTCCCCGACCCATCTGGTGTGATGGCGCAGGGCATCTTTGAAATGGCAAAAGGGGGTACCCCAGAAATGGCTCACAAACCACGCAAACTGGGCCGGGCCCACATACTCAACGTAAGAGAGCTTGCAGGTAGAAGTCAAGGGTTTCACAAGGTTTGCAACAACAAAATACATGTCTCTGTCTCGAATATGGACCTCAAATGCCTGCCACAGCTCCAACAACCTTGCAGTTGTGATTCCACGATCGGCTCCGCGTGGGCATTCAAGTGGTGGAACACTCGCCACTTTGGTCCTGAAATGATCAAAAACCCCAATCCCTAAACCCTAAACCCTAAACCCTAAGCCCTAAGCCCTAAACCCTACACCCTACACCCTAAACCCTAACCCTAAACCCTAAACCCCCACTTTGGTCCTGAAGTGATCAAGCTGGTTCTGGAGCGATGTCCGGAGGGACAGCCGTCTCCAGAGCTGCGCTGCTGCTGCCAGTGTGAATGTCACCCCAACAGCGCAGGCGGCGTGGAAGTTGTGGAGCCCAGCATAGATGTACAAGCACAAGGCTAGGGCGCCTGTAGCCACGCACAGGAGGCCAAGAGGGAGCATGAAGAAGCCAAGACAAAGCGCAACCCTGGTACGTGAGATCATCAACCATCCCATTGAAGCATCTGCCCTGCGGGTCATGGCACGACCCGGGGCTTCCAACAGCACACATCGATTCTTCTGTGAGTGCATTGGCTTGGCATAGAAGGCCTTGGAGTCCAACAAAGGATGACCCGTTTGAGAGAAGCGAACCTTTGCTGGCAGCACGGGCCGACGAAGCAAGCCATGAGACGAGGCAGTGGTCACGACCACAACTCCAGAGTCCAGCGAAATGTCCTCAATGGCCATGGGACTGCCAGCAACGACTGGATAAAGCAACATCCACATGCCAAACACCTGCGCCGCAAAAAGGAGCAACATGATCAGGTAGTTCAGGTTGGGCCTGCATTGGCCACCCACCTCCTGCTGCCAAGCTCCACATTCTCCGAGATTGCAGGATCGTAGGCCTCTCTCGTCTGTCCCATAGAAGCGTGCATCATTGCAAGCACAGGAGCCATTGCCAGCTTTGTAGTCAGAACTTCCAGGTGACTTTGCCGAAAGATCGTCAAAGCAGGTGCCTCTTCCAGAGCAGCTCTTGCCACTCCATCGGCCAGCACAAGGCAGGCACTGCCTCTGGAGTGGGGCGCCGCTGGAAAAATAGCCCTGAGCGCACGCAGCGCAGTCGCCGCTCGAAATGTAGCCTTCATCGCACCTGCACAGACTGGTGCGGTCGCTGCAAACGCCAGCATAGTTGCATGCAGCCTTGGCGACGCAGCTACTTGAAAGCATTCTGATGGAGATGCCAATGAGTGTATCTACCCCCTGGTGAGAATGTCCAAATCCATCTCCTATCAGCACATCTGCAACGCCACTGTCATACCAATCCACGACTTGGACTGCACGAGGGGGTATCCTCCTTCGTGCGCTTGCCTGGAACTTCAGAGTTTGAGCTTCTTCAAGGGACCCATTTAGTTGCAAGAATACAGTTGCCTGTCCTTTCGCCTCGGCAACCATGACCACATCTAGCAGTCCATCCTTGTTGAAATCGGCAGCTTTCAAAATGCTTCCATCCAAGACACTCGTTCCAGGGACAACGCTGTGCAGAATCTTGAACATTTCTCCCGCCATTCTTGTCTGCAGCAGCACGGCACCTGAGGTGAGAAGAAAATCTTGCAAGCCATCACCATTCCAATCCATCACGTCTGACACAGCAGCGCGAAAGTAATAGCGCCAAGTGCCGTTTGGCCACGTCTCGGCAACGCCCAAGGAGGCAAGATCAACTATAATGGAGAGCTCGGAAAACGAAAAGCCTGTCGACTGCTTCGAGATAGCCACGCTTTGGTTTCGAGCAACGCAAATCAAGTCCGGCTTGCCATCACCGTCCCAGTCTTTGACAAACGAAAGACGGAATGCATCGCGTCTGCGTCTGCCACAAGGTTGCTCAATCATCGTGGGCATGCCATCTAGCTCCCCGCTGTTCAATCGAGTATAGACATGGAGCGAATTGTCAGCGCTCATCAAGAGATCTAAGCTGCCGTCACCGTTCCAATCAAGTACAAAAAAGTTGTCTGCTTTGTATGCTTCCATTCGACTGAAGGCACTATTGGGTATGGGAAGTTCCTTCCCGAGCCACTCCTTCGAGCGAAGCCACAGCGTGCATTCGCTCCATGCATGATAGAAACCTTTCACGGCGCAGGAGATCATGTCTTGGAGACCATCACCGTTCCAGTCGGCGAAGCTGTGCCTCCACCAGGCTCCATTGGTCGGAGGAACTCTCAGCTGGCCTGGCAGCTCTGCTCCAGCTAGCAACTGCAAGTGGCCCGTAGACAAGCGTTCACAGAGGTAGATCTGATATCGAGTCACCACGAAAAGGTCAAGGTCTCCATCTCCGTCCCAGTCCACTGCCTGCAACGACACGACTGCACTGCCCAGCTCGGCGAGCAGCTCCTGCTCTTCTAGAGTGTCGTCTACCTGGCGTCGAAGGAAGCGCACGTGCCCGTCAGGTGAACCCAGGAGCAAATCCAAACGTCCATCATGGTCCCAGTCAACCGCAGAGGGAACTTGGCAACGGGTTGTCCCTGATGACCTCCCAAATGCCACAAGCACTTCACTTCCAGATTGGCTGCCGCAGATTCCTCCACCTTGAAGGGCCAAATTGTCCACCCATGCCAGCACCTCCAGGCCATCACTGCGCTTGTGGCAGCAAAGCACTCCAGAGCGCCCCTCGTGTTTCCAATCGGCGGTGTCGACAAACTGCCAGGACTCCCATGATGCGAGCTTGAGGCCATCGGGCGTTGAATTCCCAACTTGCACATTCAAGTTGTTTTGGCCCGCATGGTGAAAGTAACGTATGACTGCTGCCCCTCCGGGGCTCCTCTCAACATGAATTATGTCAGGAATTCCATCCTTGTCCCAGTCGTAAAAGTAGTCGATGCCGCTTTCGCCAGTATAACTTGCGAGTCTCCAGTCAGATTCTAGCAGGTTGGCCCATTGTCCTCTGCATGTGTTTTTCCCTCTTCTACACCACTCGGTTGCAGAGCTACAAAGTACCAAGTTGAACACCGACGTCCAGAGCACAATGCACTTCTTGGCAACTCTTCGGCCGCGCAGCATTGGAGTCTGGGAGGCTTGGGGGTACAAGGGGTTGTTGCATCTGAAATGACTTCAGAATCTCAGGTCTGATTATGTGCTTGGAGGGTTTGCTTGGATCTGTGGATCTACACTCATCCCGCAGATTCTCAGCTGCGGTTTCTCTGACTCTCGGAAGCCCAAAGCTCACGAACTCACGTCATCTTGAGAGGTTTTAAAGGGGCTACATAGCAGCCTTTGAATTCGAGGCTGGTATCTCCAGGGCCACAGCAAGTTTGGATCCGCAACCCCACGCAGACATCAAAACCCAGCCGAACCCAAACTGATCTACTGATCTGTGGCCCATGAGCCATCGTGGGCCAAGAAGCGTCCTCCACGCGCAGCTCGCCCCAGCAGCTGCCGGCAGGCCTTCCGTAAGGAAACACGCAGCAATCGGTGATCCTGAAAAGCCTGAAACCCTGTAGCTCCTCCAGGGCATATTCGGGTTGAGGGTTCCTAGATTTGAGGCACTCAACCCTAAACCCTAAACCTTGAACCCTAAACCCTAAACCCTAAAGCTATGGGCCGAGGACTCAACAAGACTAAGGAGATCCGACAGTCCTATAGACAGCTTCAAAATGCACCCAAGCCTAAACCCTAAACCTTAAACCCCCTAAACCCCCTAAACCCCCTAAACCCCCTATGCGGAGCTGCAACTGGTATTGTAGAAAGAAGTTAGTGTTGGGGGTTGGAAGGGTCAATGAACCCGGAAATCTTGTTTGGCTCAAGATGGCCAAGAGCCGTCAGCTTTTGTTGAAAAAGTACGTACGCCTGGGGTTGGGTTTAACGGGTTGGAGTAGTCCCGTCCCTTCTCCCTTATCCTGTCCCCGTTAGGGTGGGTGTTCTTGTTTCTGGTTCGATCTGGGAAATCCATATAGGCAACTGTTGAGGGTTGGTTTCTTTCCCTGTTCCCTTTCGGTTGCCCCCGTAGGTTATGAGCCCAAATTAGGTTCCCTGCGGCTGAGTGTTGTCTTAAGATCTTTGGGATCAAGAAGCAATGCCTTCTCCCAAGCGATGGCTCCAACCTTCCTCGGATGGTGGACAGAATGGTGGAGCTGGAAATGGTGCAGCTGAGTCTCTGGGTGAAAGAGCGGTGCTGGAAGAGGTGATTCCCGGTGCTGAAGAACATCTGGAAGAAGCCTTGGTTGCGGAAAACCCCAATGTGGGTATGAATCCCAATGTGGATATGGTTAGCAATGCTGAAGCTGAAGGACGTGCTGTCTCTGTATCGCCAAAGCCTGGTGAAAAAAGGAACTGGGACGTGACTGGTGGTATAGATCGTGAAATGGAGGTGACTGTTTTACGAGTGTTGCAAAAACATGGGTATCAGCCGTCGACTTCGACTTCGGGCCGAATGGTAGACCAAGGGTCTCAGACCGATCTGATTGGAGAAGTGCTGCAAGCGGCCAGGAGGCCTCTGAACAAGATTAAAGGGGATCCCTCTTCGAGTTCCCAAGGTGGTGGAAGCGGTTACGAACAGAAGGGTGCGGACAGCTTTGAAGCTGCACCAGCTGCTGAATACGCCATGGGGGAGGAGGAGATCTTACAGATGGAGGCTGAAAGGTTGCGACAGTTGTCAGAAGAAGAGGATGAGATGCGTCAAGTCTCTGAAAGGGATGGTTTTCGGAAAGATGAGCATCTGATCAAAGCGTGCGATGGGACAACGTGGGAATGGCACCTTCATGAAGATGGGAGACAATATTACTACTGCCTGGATACGCAGGAAAGCAAGTGGACGTTGCCGGTTGTAGGTGAAAAGATGAAGAGTGACGAGGTGGTTGGGTCTCCTTCGGGCAATGAGCTGGAAATGGAGGCTGCACTGGGTTCTTCATCCTCTACTCCGACGCCTGAGTCTACGAGGGCATTCCAGGGTAGTGTAAATAGTGTAGGTGAAAAAGATTTTTCCTCTACTTTCAGGGATTGCGGTCCTGGGGCTGGTGGTGACGCCCCGACCTCGGGTTCTCCTGATGGGGAGGGGATTCCTGGAAACCGAGCAGACATCGCTGGAGCTCAACATCTGGATCGGGAAGAAATGGAAGCGCTTTCTGAGGGTGTGGCAGCGGTGGAATCGGTGGGTCCAGAAGAAAAAATGCCCAATGTGGAGATCGGAACTGTGTCGGCTGCAGAAGAGCAAGTGGTGGATGTGGTACCTGTCGTTCAGGAAGGTGGTCCTGGAGATTTGGAAGACGGAGGGAAAAAGTTGTGTGTTACGACTGAGGAGGTCTCTTCGTTTGGTGCCAAGAATCCTGCCATTCAAGGGGAAAAAGAAGCTTCTGGAATAGCTGGAGACACGGAAGATCTGAAAGATGAGGCCTGGAGCGCCAATGATGCGCGGGTCAATGCGCCAGATAGTACCTGGAGTGCGGAAGAAGCACGGGTTGAGGTGCATATGGTGTCACGTTCCACGGGCGACTGCAACAATGGGGCGCAGGTCTCCGCAGCAGCTGATGATGGAGGTTCACAGGTGGACGCACTGGTGCAACCTGAAGTTAGCTGCGAGGAACGAAATGGCAAGGGCTACACCGGAGCCGATGAGGCAGCTGTGGTCAATGATGGTGACAATTCCCCTTTGGAAACCATGGAACCAAAGGAGCCTGCGGTGGAAGAAAATGTACCTGCCGTGGATGAGCAATTCAATGGCCCTGCAGTGGAAGGAAATTTGCCTGCTGCAGAAGGCGTCACAAAAGACTCCAATGATGGGTCCACTCCCATGAAGGGAGAAGTATTGCCGTCTGGAAGCTCGCCGGAAGTCGACACCGAGCGAACTGCAGCAGATGAGGCAAAGCCTTTGGCAGAAAAAAAGGGAGGTCCTGAAATCCAGGAGCACAAAGGAGATGAGCCTGTGGGACTCGTGGAGCAGGACGAGCAGTGTGACCCAAAGGTGAAGACAAAGGATGCGCCAGGAGCCGATGATACAGAGATGGTTTCTGAAGAGCATGCAAAGAAAGTGCCCCGAGCAGGAGCCTTGGAATCACCTGGGGAACATTGCTATCAAGAGGGAGATGAGATCATGGGTCTAGTGCGCTGCATCAATGGGTATGGAGCCTTTTTGGACCATGGTGATGTGAATGTATTGGTTCCTGCAGAAGGGAACAACACATATCAGTTCAAATTTGGTGATACTGTCAATGGAACAGTGAAACGAGTGGAAGATGATGGTACCATAATCTTGGACACCTTTCTGGTTTTGGAAGAGGACGAGGAGGACTCTTCTTCGACGCTGCGTAAATGGAAACCCAGCGGCTGGAGTACGTGGTGGACAGATTCATGGTATGCTGGTCAATGGTACCAAGATTCCAACAGTCAATGGGACTGGAAACAGGAGGAAGAGCAATCCGATGAAGGGCTTGTGGTACAGGAGTTATCCTCAGAAGAACGAGAGGAAAGGCAACTTTATGGAGAAAAGATCTATAAAGCTCTTCTTGAGAATGGAAACGAAGATGAGGCCTATGTTGGAAAAATCACTGGGATGCTGTTGGGTCGCCCAATGGAAGAGCTACAGGAGTGTGTTGCAGATCATGCATTCCTCAATGCGGAAGCTCGGCGCGCGTATGGCATCTTGCAAAATGATGGTTGGAAGCCTGATGGTACAGAAAGCACAGGCTTGGGAAAGTTAACCACTTTTTCCCGAAAACAGTACCACAACGCGCTTTTCGAACTGGCATGCAGAAAAAGGAGATTTACTCGACCAGTTGTGGGTGAAGCGGTGGCAACGGTGCTGAATCAAGGGGAAGATGAGTTTTGGAACGCGCTTTGGTTGGACACCAAGCTATTTTTGCAGGAGCTTGATGGTGCAGTGCAATCCATGAGCAAAAGGGAGAACAAGCCAATGGAAGCCTACATGGATCCTGACCAGTACAAAAAGGCTTACATGACTCCACAGACTGTGTCACCTGGATACAGCAAGCTGTGCAAGTTCTTCAATAAGGGAAGGTGTCGCAATGGTGATGGGTGTCCCTATGAGCATCGTCGTTATGGTGAAGGTTGGCCAGAAGGAGGATCAACTGAGCCAAAGAACAGCCAAGAAGCTGGAGATGAGGATGGGAACATCGGTGACCCTCCCACAGAGGAAGGTACAGTGGATGAGGCACAGCAGGAGCGGGAGGATTTTTGCCTTCCGGGCCAAGTACAATTTTGGCAAAGGTGCATCAAAGGGTGAACCTACGTCGGGTGAGCCAAAAGGTCGTCTGTGTCTGTATTATTCTGTATTACAATCAAGGTGGTTGTAAATATGGGACTACATGCAGGTATCTTCACAACGATGACATAGCATTGGAAGGGACTTGGGAGCCCGGCAAATCTTGGGACAATGCTTCCAGGAAGGCACTAAGGGACGCGGGGTTCCACCAGTGCTGTTTCGATTATTACATCAGAGGACGGTGCCGGAAAGGGTTAAATTTCTGCAAGTACTCTCACGACGAGATGTCAGATGAGCGGCTGGCGCACCTGAAACACTTGGTACATGTGGCCAATCAGGTCCGGTTTGAAAAAGAGAGAGGGTGGGAGATTTCGGACAGGAGCACTTTTCAGCCACCTGCGAGTGGAGGAGTTGAATCGTCATCATCCTCAGCACCAAAAGCGCTGCAAATGACCAATGTGTCACAAAAAGAAGGTGAAAAAGGTATTCTGGATGAAGCAGAAGCTGATGAACAAAAGAATTCGGTGGCTGAATCCACTGGTACTCGGCTTCAAAATCCGGAGGAGCCAATTGAAAATTGGATGGCTCGCAACGAACACCTTTGGGTGTATACCCCTCATGTAAGTGAGGTGATGATTACACTTGGTGTGACCAATGTGTCGGACTTGCAAGAGTTCATCTTTGTGGAAGATTTGGTTGACAAAGGGATCAACAAAGTGACAGCATGCAAAATTCTGCAATTGGTTGGTGGTGTCCGATATCGTCCGGGAGGACCGGAAAAAGCAGTTCCTTCCGATGCATCTGTACGGGTACAACAATCTTCTGGGAGCAAAGGAACTGGAAGAGA